TTCTATTCTATTCTATTCTATTCTATTCTATTCTATTCTATTCTATTCTATTCTATTCTATTCTATTCTATTCTATTCTTTCCTTTCCTTTCCTTTCCTTTCCTTTCCTTTCCTTTCCTTTCCTTTCCTTTCCTTTCCTTTCCTTTCCTTTCCTTTCCTTTCCTTTTCCATTCCATTCCTTCCTCCACATAGCAGAAAAGGCAAATGTCTGGATTTTTTTTCCCAATCTCAATCACAATATCTACCAGAATTGGAAGTGAAATTGAAATCCAACATATCTGGAAGGAACTAGACTAGGGAAATTGTGCATGTTATATTGTACATGAAATATTTGTAATTTGTAAAATTTTAAACATTCCTATTTCCAGTTTGGGCCAAAATTAGCCATCTTTTGCTGACATTTGCTGAGCACTGAATGAGGAAAGGAATATGACTAAATAGTTTCACATAATTTCACAAGGAGAGTTCTCTGCTCCTCTACTCATTGCAGAATACCTTATGCCACCAGACTTGAAATTCTAGACCTAAAAAACCTAGAACTATGCTGCCTTCAGTCCAATCTAAGTATAGTATATAAAATCATACATTGCAATGTCCTACCTGTCAATGAATACTTCAGCTTCAACCATAACAATAAAAGAGCAAACAATAGATACAAACTCAAGGTTAATTGCACCAAACTAGATTGCAGGAAATATGACTTCAGCAACAGAGTGATCAATGTCTGGAATACTCTACCTCAGTGGCCCCCAACCTTTTTTGTGCCACGGCCTGGTACTGGCATCACATAATCATCCGCAGCCCGGTACCAGCATCACAAAATCATCCGCGGCCAGGTACCGGCATCAGCACGCATGGCGAGCCGAGCGACCGGCCGGCCAGCCGTCCCCCACTTCTCCCCACCACCTTCAACTCCTCCTTTGTACCTGTGTCGATGGGCTTCGCGACGGCTTCAGGACAGTCGCTCGGCTCACCTTGCCATGTGTGCTGAAAGAATCCTCACGCCTTAGTTTTGTTCGAAGCCGCCCCCCCCCCCTCGATGAAACTAAGGCGCGAGGATTCTTTCAGCACCCAAACGCCGCTTTCTACCCGGAAAAGCTCACCGGAAGCACTTTTTCATCAAAACAAGATGGCGGCGCCCAGCAAACCGGCAGCCCGGTAGAAATTGTTCCACGGACCGGTACCGGTCCGGGCACCGGTGGTTGGGGACCCCTGCTCTACCTGACTCTGTGGTTTCTTCCCCAAACCCCCAAAACTTTCACCTTAGACTGTCTACTATTGACCTCACCCCTTTCCTAAGAGGTCTGTAGGGGGCGTGCCTAAGCGCACCAACGTGCCTACTGTCCCTGTCCTATTGTTTCTTTTTATTTTTCTTATATGTAACCATGTATTCATAACTATGTTTTTACTTATACCTATTATCTTGTAAGCAATTGACAAACTAAATAAAATAAAAAAATAAATGATAGACTCAATAATTCCTTTGTAAAACTGTATCAGCAGCTCCTTGGGCAGTTTGAGCTTTCTGAGTTGATGCAGAAAGAACATTCTTTATTGTGCTTTTTTGATGATGTTTTTTGATGTTAAGTGTCCATTTTCGGTCATGTGATATGATAGAACCTAGAAATTTGAAGATCTCTACTGTTGATACTATGTTGTCTAGTATTGTAAGAGGTGGTAGTATGGGAGGGTTTCTTCTAAAGTCTACCACCATTTCTATGGTTTTGATTGTGTTCAGTTCCAGATTGTTCCGGTTACACCACGAGGCGACTTGTACAACCTCCTGTCTGTATGCGGATTCGTCGTTGTCTCGAAATGGCACTCGATTGCAGTCTTAGCAGAAAGAAATCTGAATAAACCTTTGTATAATATACTCAAGTAGTATGCTTAAGATTTCATAATAGAAAGCAGAGAATATAGAACATTGGTAATAGAGTTGGAAGGAACATTGGATCTCTTTTAGTCCAACCACCTGCTTGAGCAGGAAACCTTTCCAGACAAATGGCTGTCCAATGTCTTCTTCTTAAAAACTTCCAGTGTTGAAGCAACCACCATTTCTGAAAGCAAGCTATTCATCTGATTCATTGTTCTCACTGCAGGAAATTCTTCCTTAGTTCTAGGCTTTGATAATTTCCCATCTTTTTTGGATACAGTATTCCATATATGGTCTTACCAAAACATTACTAATACGCAGTTTCTTCCATTACTGCTAATAAATTAGTGGATAGAATAAATTCCAATGGCTCCAGTTTTATTTTTTTGTAAAATCCTGGACAGATTGCAAGACTTATTATTTCCAATATATTCGTGGATGGAGAAATCTCTTAGTATTGCATTCGATAAACGCGGGCTATGGGGAGACAGGATACCTCGAGTCAATTAAAATAACAGAATAGCGATTGGCTGCGGTAGGAGGAAAAGAGACCAATCAGAGTTCTGCTGTTATTGTCCAATCATGACAAAACCCGGGAAATTCAAACAGAATTAATGACTACATTGCCACTCTCAGCCAATAGGAAGATGGGACGCTGCCTATAAAAGACCCACTAGCTCGCCAGCCAAATTCATTCACCCGAACTTTTAGAGAGCGAAGTTGCCTCGTTTGGAAGATGGCCAGAACCAAGCAGACTGCTCGGAAGTCCACCGGTGGTAAAGCACCAAGGAAGCAGCTTGCTACTAAAGCAGCTCGCAAAAGCGCACCCGCCACCGGAGGAGTGAAAAAACCTCACCGCTACCGTCCTGGAACTGTAGCTCTCCGAGAGATCCGGCGCTACCAAAAGTCCACCGAGCTGTTGATTCGCAAGCTCCCTTTTCAGCGCTTGGTGCGTGAAATTGCCCAGGACTTCAAGACCGACCTGCGTTTCCAAAGCTCGGCTGTGATGGCCCTTCAGGAGGCCAGCGAGGCTTACTTGGTGGGGCTGTTTGAAGATACTAATCTCTGCGCCATCCACGCCAAGCGAGTCACCATCATGCCCAAAGATATCCAGTTGGCTCGCCGCATTCGCGGTGAGAGAGCTTAAGGAATCCTTCACCTCACTCGGAGACTTCGTTATACCCCAAAGGCTCTTTTAAGAGCCACCTACGCATTCACTTAAAAGAGCCTGGTCTTTCATACTGTGTTCTATCTTACGAGTTTTCTTATTCCTGGCATCTATATAGGCATTGTCCCTGCAGCTTCCTTGGTGGTTTTATTAGTCGTGGCGGCTCGGGAGCACCGAAGCGCTTTCGGTTACAGAGAATTAGTCCGTGACGTCACCCATTACTTTAACCCTAAACAGTTTCGGGGGCTGCTTATCTACTCACGGCTGCCCGCTTTAAGCGGTTGGGTCAGCCGCAGCGTGGCGGGAGATCACACCGACCAGCTGGTCGAATATGGACGAGTCTGCCCAGCTTCCTAACCTCATGAGCCACCCACCGCGCTCCCACGTTCTTTCCTAACGGGCTGAAGGTTAGGCGAAATCATCAGACTCGTATCCCATTCTAACATCCTCTTAAATTCACCACCTCTCGTTCACTCAAATAGTCTGGGCTGGGGGACTATGAGGATTGGGGAAAGACTGAAAAGGAGGAAATATAGGTGCTCGGGAGCTGCTTGACTGAAGAGGGTTTGGAGTATGATATTTTTTTCAGTGTCTCAAATGAAGCCAGCTCTTTTCAAAGGAAAAAGTGGGTGGCTCTTA